TCAACCCTAATATTTTCAACCCCCTATATTATTATTATATTATATTATGATATATATTATATATATAATATAATATATATACTATGTGTATTATATATATTTATATCAACCCTTACAGCCCCTGTCCTTGCCCCTGTCCTTGTCTCCCACCGTCCCCCTCCTCTCGATTGCATTTTTATTTTCACGTAATTTTTTCTGTCCGTTTTGTCCGTCGTGTAATTTCGATAATGGGGGGGGGAGTCAAAGTTTGACTTGTCTCTATTTCTTTTTTTTTTGTTTTGTTTATATATATATATATTTGCTCGTATTACACTTTATTATACAAGGGTGTCTTTATTTTATTTTTCTTTCTTTCTTTTACTCTTTCTCATTTTATTATCCGGTTGTTTAAAACACGTTGTTTCTACGCGACGAGATTTATTTATCGTAGAAAGCCGCAAGAAGCTTTGCCCGAGACTCGCGCGAATTAATTCCGTACACCGTGGGGTCACGGGTTTATCCAATTTTGAAACGTCTTTACTAGTTTACGCTTGCTGAGGGTAGTAAGGTGAGGTGAGGTGAGGTTAGGTGAGATGGGGTTGGAATAAGGGGAGTGTCGGAAGAAAAGACAATTTTATCGTTGGTGTCTTATGTTACCGTGAAAGATGAAACTTGGAATAAGTCAAGATTCACATGATTGTATGGTGGATGTCCGAAATATTGATGTACAAGAATAAATCGAAATATTCGGTTATTAACTCAAGCGTGTTTGGTATGCACGAGGTTGACATTTGCTATGTGAATCTCAAAATTCTATCCAATTTCAATATTTCGCGGTAACATTTATCTATGAAAAAAAAAACTCTAAAAAATAAAAGAAAACAATTTTAAGAACATTAAGTAGGGACAATTATAATGTTAATTATGATACTTACGATGCTAAGGGCGTGCATGATGCAGGCCTGAGCTGTGTTCTCGACCTGGATCAATTCGTCGCAATCCTCGTGATCCAACCCATTAACGTCGGATCGTATTTTGATCGGAGATAAAGCGGCCTCGTTGTCCGTTGACTTGCCACTGTCAGGGGACGGTATTAATTCGTGACCGTCAAGATCCTCCTCTTCGACGCGTTCCTCACAATCCGTTGCTTTGATCTCCTGTTTGAACAAATTAATAATCGTTCATTCCAATAGAATGATGATGATCATGATGATGATGATGATGATGATGATGATAGTATTGCTTTGTCATTTATATAGTACATTGTTATATACACAAATACATACACACACACACGTATTTGCGCATATATGTATACATGTTACCACCGTGGAAGACCGAAATTGGATAATGTCAAGATTCGTATGATGAAATGTTAACGCATATACCTAATATGATCGGTGAAAGACCGAATATTTCGGTTCATTAATAATTAACATTAATAATTCTGACATAATTAATTATGAATATTAAACATTAATATTTCTGACATACATCAAGCGACCATGTGATTCTTGACATTATCCAATTTCGATCTTTTACGGTAACACACATACAAACACACACACACACGTTTAACACACATATTCTCGGTCTCGGTTTCATTTATATTTTATTGTCAAAGGAGAATTTAGAAAGATTCGATGTTTCCCAGCCACCCCTCCTCCCTCCGTCCCTCCCTCCCCTTGACCCCTTTAGATCGATCGTAAATATCGTGGTAAAGAAATAAGAAAAATCGGTGAGTCGCGTCAAAATCGTTCCAGATTTAGAAATTTTCCAGCAGATTTTGACGCCAGAGGTCAGAGGGGTTAAGAAAAATGTGCGGGCGAGGGGAGGAAACCAGAAAAAAGTTCTTTTATTCGGCTGAATAAGCACAAATGACCTAGACGAGAAACGTCGATTCCATCGGAGTTGGCCATTATGGGGTTGACGTATCGACAGACACGACACTGAAACACATGGACTGACGGGGGAAGGGGGAGGGGGAAAGGGGTCGAGGTAATATTTCTTTGGATTGCACGATTTCACCTTTAATTTTTTCTTTCTCATTCTATCTTTTTCTTGTTCATTTTCTTTATGTTTAGCAATTTCATCGTGGGGGGCCCAAGAAAACGTGACCTCTTTTCGACTGACGCATTTGATATTATCCAGGTTTTACATTCTTCCGCGATTTCGCGAACTCGTAAGATTACTTTAACCTGAAACGAGCCGAAAGACGCGTTCGGGGATTATAAAATTGTAATTTATTGCCGCTGAGGTAACCTCGGATTACATTGGTGTGGTTGGATGATTCACCGACTCGGTTACTCGATGAATTATTATTCGCTAACATATTGCTCTACCCTTCTAACCTTATTTTCTTCTTAATCATTTTCTATAAAGTAGAGATAGTAAGAGAGAGAAAGAGAGAAAGAAAAAGAGAGAGAGAGAGAGAGAGATAGATAGGAAGGAAAGAATACTTTACATTCTTGCAAAATGTCATTATTATCAGACGAGTAAAGTCGATGAATAATGTTTCATTTCACGTTAGTTAATGTTACCAGAAAAATATCTTCAAATTCACATTATTGTCAACTTTATAATAGAGTATAATAATATAAAAAAAAATGATATATTTACTTTTGTGAAATAAAAATTAAATAATCTCTTTTATACGCGCGTTATTTTCTTTTTTCAAATAAAACCTTTTCAGATTAACCAAACCAGCTGCTGCTGTGTTAGGGTTTAAGTAGTCGGTAGAAATGGAGCCGAGGAAAAACGATAGAGTAAAGGAAAGAAGTAGAAGTAGAAGTAGAAGAAGTAGAAGAAGAAGAAAATGCCTTTACCTTGGCACAAGCACTCCCCCCCTCCCCCTCCGCCCCCCCTCTCGTACGAAGAACTTGGATCGAAGGAAAAACTGTTAGCTACTTTCTCACCATGTTGGGCGGGCGGGGGTGGGGAGGGAGTGTCAAGGGGTGGGGAGGGGGAGTCTTTAGATTCCTGTTATCGGTTGGAATAAGTTGAACAGAGATAGAGGTAAGTATGCCTAAAGGCAAAGCCACATGAACGGCGACTTCCACTTAACTTTTTTCTCACCTCGAAAAGAACATAGAATAAGAGGGAAAGGGGTATGGTACGGGGTGAGGGGAGAAGAACGAGAAAGAGAGAGAGAGAGAGAGACTTTCACCATCGGGCTTGTCCATCTCGATAAAATCCTCAGCTGCTCGACTACTTAAGCTTCTTTTTTTTTCTTCTTCTCTCTCTCTTTCTTTCTTTCTTTCTTTCTTTCTTTTTCTAAATCACACGTAAATCGCTAGGGGGTTTTATTTTTGTTCTTTCAGTTCAAAGAGAACCGGACAAGATGATTCTACTTCTATCTTGTTTTTATTCTCGACTCTTTTATTAAATACATTTAGTTTGTCTAAAGTTATTTCTGTTTTGGTTTTTTTTTTTTTACTGACGTCATTCAAATCATTATATTCGTTTAGAAATTGTAACGATTTACGAATGAATTAGTGAATGGTATTTAACAATTGTTTTTTTTTGTATTGGATATTATTGACAGGTATAAAATTCAGTTTGGTTTCGATGTTTGCTTAAAAACTTTTGTTCTGTTCAATAACTACCAATTGTTTAAGTCACAATAAGGACTCAATGAAAAAGGACGCTGAACTATAAGGATTCAGTTGCTGAAGAAGTCCCAATAAAGGGACGAAACGTCCAACTTAGTTAAATTAAGTTCTACTTCTTTTTTATGTCCAAGTTCTCTATGATACCTTCTCATTAATAATAAGGAAAACATTTGAAGTAAGACCAATCTCGAGAACAATTGTATCACGAGTCTGACTCGTGTTTCGTTGAAATTTCTTACCACGAGTCAGGCTCGTTCCTTATCGTTTTTAGCCCACATTTTTTTCTACCACGAGTCTTACTCGTTGTCGTAGGATAAGGGGGGTTGTAAATTTGATCACATTTTTGTATCTAATTGAAAAAAGATAGATAGAAATGTATAAATTACTTGAAAGTCCGGTGGTGAAGGTGAAGATGATTCCTTGACGTGCTGACTCGGACTATGGGGTGGACTATGGGGTGGACTCTGCGTTGATCTCGGACTCTGTGCTCGTGTACCAAGTTCGTATATGTTTATCATATGAGCAGCTTGAGCATGAACCATCAGTTCCCATGCTGTTGGGAAAGATACCTTGCAGAGTACACAGAGCAGGGCCGTCGTGGAGTCTCCTATTTCATGAACGAAACAAACAATTTTTGTTACCAATTTTCTTAGAATTTTTCCAAAGATGATAATTTAACTCACGAAGTTTATATACAAGGAAGACGATCGCAGTGTTATTAATGTGTCTACGGTATACACAATGAGAGAATGATTTCTATTGCCGCTAGAGAGCGCGTCGATTCGTTTGATCTGATTTTTCAAATATGAATAAACCTAACCTTTAATTTAGGAAAAAAGAAAATAGATAAATAAGTTGACGAAGTAAATTAAAAAATTAGAAACTAAAGAAAATGTTGAATAATTGGTTATGATATCGCAAAGTCAAGAAAAAACAATAATAATAGCATTGAAAAAATATGTTGATAAATGATTTTTCAAATATGAATAAACCTAACCTTTAATTTAGGAAAAAAGAAAATAGATAAATAAGTTGACGAAGTAAATGAAAAAATTAGAAATTAAAGAAAATGTTGAATAATTGGTTATGATATTGCAAAGTCAAGAAAAAACAATAATAATAGCATTGAAAAAATATGTCGATAAATCATCCTGTGTATTTGTAAAAAAATATTGTTTAATGGAATCAATTTATCTTGAACTCACAATTAGTATAAAAATGGAATAATACTGTATGTAAAATGTAATTGCCAGTTACTTTTAAACAGTAAACCACACAATCAACAATATAAAATAACCTGTTGAGCTGTATGAAAATTAAAATCCTAATTCTTTAATTATTTCTTAATTAAATTAAGGCTTCTTGAGTTAAAACAAAAATATCTAAAAAGAAAACTATTTGTTTCAATTGTTTATTTATAAAATCATACGTATTTAAATCTGAACTTCTGAACATTAGCGCCGCCCTCGTGGAGAATCATCGTACTCGGTATTTAATTATTTTTAACAACACAAATTTGACGAAAACGCGTATCTCGATCGTCTCACTTGTATAGAGTTTCATTGTTTAATTATACACGCAAAAGTTGGAATTATGACAAATTTCCATTTAACATCGTTGCATCGAATCAATCGTATTGTCGAACAAATTTTAAATCGATAATAATTTTTCTTCACATTTTTCCTTGTTTTTTTTTTTCTCTTTTTTGCGACGTAATTTTTTACAATTGTATTTTATTTTCGATCTCGGATGACAAATGGAAATTTTATGCAAGTTGAATTTGTATATATATATACAACGAGTCACGTTTAAATGAACTACTTTGATCTTCGAGTAAATATGTTAATAATAATAGAAATGATGAATAAATTTAGATTGTTTTATATACGTAATAAAAAAAATTGAACGAAAGGCTGATACTAAAGGGTTTAGACATTTTTTTTTTTTCTGTTTGTATTGTTAAGGTTCATATTTACGGAGATACATCGAAGTGGTTTCATTTACTTATAGAAAACATTTGATATGTATACGAGTACGCTGAGACACAGCTGTGCATTATTATGATACAATCGTGATGATACAAAGAAATTCTAGGATACGCGAATGTTGCACGGAGAGTAAAAAAAAAGGATTGAAAAAGATTTAATTTCACGAATGATATCAATTCGAAGTTTGTTTTCATCGAAATTTAATGAGAAATGAGAGAGGATTTCTTTTTTCTTGCGATGATAATTCATTGGAAAAGAAAAACAGAGACAGGGGGAGGGAAAAAAAATGAAAATTATCGCCGAAAAACGTTCGACGTTTCTTTTCCAAAGATTCTTCGAATCGTATCCGAAAAAAGATATTTTTTAAATGACACGAATGATTAATGTAGATTGAAAAGGATTTTGACATTTTTTCTCTTTCGTTGGAATGAAAAACTCGACGAAACTCGATTTTCATAAGATCAAATAATAATAATAATAATAATAATAATAATAATAATAATAATAATCTGAGAGAAAAGTTCGATAATTTGCTTGGATGTATTTATTGTTTGTTTAGTTGTTCAACTTTTCTGTTCTTTATAATAATACGACAAGGAAGTAAATTACCATATTCCTTTTATAGAATATTTTTTTTTAATATAATATAAACTTAAAGAAAAAGAAAAAGAAGAAGAAGAAGAAGAAGAAGAAGACGAAGACGAATACGAATACGGAGTTTCTTTATATGACAGATTTTTTCATTAAATATTATTAAAGAAAATAAAATAAAAAAATAAAAAAAACAAAAAAAAAAGACAGTAAAGATTTCCATCCTTTTGTTTGGTGATTTTATTAAAAAAAAAAAAAAGATTTCTATTTATATATTTTATTCCTTTACAATGTGTGATGCGGATAAAGAAAGAATGAAAGAGAAAGAAATAAAGAATTTGTTTTCTACAAGATTTTTTCCTATCCTCGTTTGACGATGATTGAATGAGAGTCTACTTTTTCCATACTTCCTTTTCTCGGTTTAATGATGAAAAAAAAAAACACACAAAAAGTTAAATAAAACAAAATGGCAAACAACCGAGGATACTTTCAAAGTACAAACACAAACGTATACAGAGAGACAGTTTTATATATTATTTAAATAATAAGAAAAAATTAATAAGAAAAGTATTAGTTAATTACATTAATAAAGTGTTTGTTTGTATTTATATAAAGAAATAAAAAGAGTAGCACTAAGAAAAGGACCATGCCGCATTGGAAGTGTTAGTTCCCGTTCGATAACTAAAGTCAAGCAGCGCTGGGCACAGTTAGGATGGGTGACCCGCTGTTTTTTAGAAATACTGTGTGCCGTTGACGCCAAGAGGACACTCCCGCCTAATTTTTAACACCTAAAAATGGGTCCCAAGCCCAAAAAAAGGAGAAGAGAAGGGTTCAAGGGTGTGTTGTGAGGCTTTTAACAACAAAACCTACACCCTTGTGGTTAAAAACAATAATAAAAATGCTCTCAGAAAAATAGTAATAAAAATGCTTTTGTAATAGGATGACGTAGTTCTAACAAAAAGAAGAAGAAGAAACCAGGGGATAGGTAAAATAATTTTGGAAAAGAAGGTGAGAAGAAGAGTGCACCTCGCGAGAGGCGGTTGGTTTGGCACTCGATCGGGTCAGAGACGCGTGTACGTACCGGAAGGGCGCGCCTCTAACTTTCTTTCGAGTACATACTTGGGGCGGCTCCGTTGAAGGTGTGACATTTACATGTGAACCGCAGTTTGCAGTAGTTCCGCTTGTGTTCGAGCAGCTCCCCAAGATCGGAGAACATTTCCCTGCAGTTGCCGCATATAAGTATATCTGGATTACCTGGAAAAGTATATATAAAACACATTTGGATAAATAACACTTAGTTGTTTTGTGTATACTTGAATATAAACGAAATATTACTGTACATATACGTGTTGTTTATTTGATATTTATTATTAACAAATCAAACTTTTTGAAACTTTACGAATGCGTTATCGTTAAAGTATAGAAATCATTTATTCTGCACAGATTAATTAAAGTGATTTGTTAAAGTGTGTTATCGAAAATTGTTTCGTTATTTCTCAAAAAATTATTTAGTTAATATATAAATTTTATTTATTAGGAACTTGTTAAAGTGAAAATAAGATCTTTCCTGGAACAACAGTAAAGTATAAAAAATATTTACCAAAACTTTTCAAAGAAATTGCAAAGATGTACAATTTACAGCATTGGATTCACCGACATTTTTTGCACTTTATATTTGAATTTCACAATTCTACAAAGTATTCTACGCGTAGAAAAAAGAGTATACTTTAATTTAATATAAGTTTTATTAAAATCTATTTACTATTAGTATAAAAAATATTTAGCAAAACTTTTCAAAGAAATTGCAAAGATGTACAATTTACAGCATTGGATTCACCGACATTTTCTGTACTTTATATGCTAAATTTATAACTCGATATGGTATTCTACGCGTAGACTAAAGAGTGTACTTTAATTTAATATAAGTTTTATTAAAATCTATTTACTATTAGTATAAAAAATATTGAAAGTATATTCACGGGAGCAAATCGTAATTTAATGTTAACTTGTAGAAAATGTATACTAACAGTGTTATATTTATACTAACAGGTTTATATGTTGCTAATATTTGGCGAATGTAAAAAGAAATTCACGTGAAGCAGTAAATCTGTATGCTGAAAAATACCCAGAGAGAGTCACGTGCACAAATCGAACTATTTTTATGTTTTGTTTAAGTAACAATAAATTACGCACATAAATAAGTTGTTTGTTTTATAAAATCACTTGTGCCCTTTGTTGATGCAATTGCCAATTACAATCTTCATTCCGTATACACAGATGGTTGCATGGATGCCGACTTTAATCGGCGCTTGTATAAACACATATCATTGTTCACTTAGATGCCGATTATAGTCGGCGTCCGTAACGAAAATCGGGTTAGGATTAAGCTTTTCGAAGATGTAACTTGAATTTAGAAGGTAATTTTTAAACGACCGATCATTGGTTAAGTGCATCACGGGAAAGAAATAAACTGTGTGAGAGAATGAAATAGAGAATCCGTTTGGTTCTTGTAGAAGAAGCCAGGTAAATGGCGAGTGAGGTTTTTACGTCGCAAAGATCGCGCTTTTAAAACTGTTAAATCAACGGCTTTAGAGGCTGACGTTCTTTTTCTCTCTACGATCATCCATTAAAAGGACTCGAGGCCATCAAAGGACTACGTTTGCGTTCTCTCTCAGTTGGTGTCTCTTCTGGTCAGCACTTTACGGTAGACTGCACGTAGTAAGAAAATAATTCTACCTGTTCGGTGACTCTTTTCTTTCGTTTTTTTTTTTTTTGTTTCCTTTTTTTTTTTTGCTGTTAGGCTATTGAAACAAAAAAAAAAAAAGAGAGGAAGAGAACCGTCAGTTTCTTACAGTGGGCAATACCAGGACTTTATTTTACAGTGTTTCATTTGATTTTTCTTTTTTTCTTGTTAATTTGACACACTGGTAGAACTTGTTTAACCGTTTGATTGCTTTATTATATAATTTTATTATAAAATTATTATATTATTCCTGTTTTTCAATCAGTGTCACAGTTTTGGCTAATGTCCGAAAAAATACGTGAGCAGTTAAACGATTAAAACATTATGTTGAACACCCTATATTCAATCGTTTACAAAATATTAAAATGATGAAATTTTACATCTTTTTGTAATTTTAATTTTATTCTTTTATTTCTTAATGTTTTCTTTTTGTATTGTCTAATAATTGTGTGTAATATTGTTTAGTATGTTACACGCAGGAATGTTAACTCAACATTATTTGTAAAAAATAATTTCGTGAACGTTTTAAAGGGTAAAATAAAAGAATAAGATCAGTGGTGGGGGAAGAATTAAAAGTAGTGTTACTCACTGTATACTTTGAGTTGATTCAAGTCCGGTACCGTGGCTGTATTGTTGCTCGGTTGTTGTTTCTGTTGCTTCGGATGTTGGGATCGTGCAGGTGGCATTAAACGAGGTCTCTTCAGGGGCGGTGCCAAACGAGGTGGAAAAGCGGTAGACGCGTAGTAACTGAAAATAAAATTTACATCAATTGTTAATACGACAAATCTAACGATTACGTTTCAATCCCATATTAATAAAATAAATGATTATTATATCCATGATATAATAACGTAGAGAGATTATTATTAATTAAATATATGGTGTATGTATATTTGACATTTTATAAAAAACCATTTTTTTTTATGTTTTTCTTTATTTCAGATTTTTTTATATAATACTTTATATTTTTAAGAATTTTTCGAGGAAAATAATTTTTTTTTTTTTTTTTTTTTTTTTTGTTTTTTATAAATAATTATAATAAGTGTGAATGGATAATTTTGTATGTATATATTATTTAACGCTAATTTTTGTTTATGTTTTTTTAAATTGCATACTAAAAAAAGCTTCAAATTTCGTGATTTATTTATTTGTGAAAAAAAACAACAAAATTTTCATCCGTCAGATTAAATACTATTGCATTATTTTACGAGATTCTTTTTTTTTTTATTATCCTTTTTTTCTCGTTTATTTCTTATTAGGAAGCGTCATGGTTTTTTTCATCAGTATTCCATTTATATATTATATTTTAATATTAAAAAATAATGTGTTAATATTATATAAGAAAAAATTATTTTCATTATTGATTTTTTGTTTCTTATAGTTGAAAAGTAATTAACACAAATGTTAAATTAATAATTTAAATTATTGTTTTTGCATCATATAATCCTTACAATTAATTTTTCCAATTTATTCGGTTTTTTTCAGGATTATGTAAGCCCTTAGCACCCTTATGAATTATTATACAGATCATTTCAAATCTAACGAGAACGTATCTCTCTTTTATTATTTCTTATATTTTTTTCATATATTTAAAATAATATCACATTTTGTCATATTATTATTAACACGTTTGTCCGTTATTAACATTTAACAAAATTCTTTTTTTCTTTTTTCTTTTTTTTTTTGTCGTTTTTATATCGCAACGTCGAAATCATTTTCGAATGTATTCAAAGCACGAACGATCGGAGGGAAAATAGACATTGATAAATTTACGTTATCGGCTAAAACATGCATTATCCATGCAATAAACGATGCTCGAATAACAATGAGCTACATATATATAGTGATAAATTAATTACAGATTATTAGGATATGGATTTGATTTTCCGTATCGTTCGTGAAATGATCCCCGTCGCTTATTATTATTCTATGAATATTAAATTCAAGTGCTTCCCCTCGATGACCTGGGTAATTAACTTATCTTTTTTCATATTCTTAATCATTAATTTATCATAAGCAAAATATATCAACACGATTTTTTTTATCTATTTATTATTATTATTATTATTGTATAAAATTATCAACGATTTTATTATTCCATTTATTTTTTATGTATTATTATTATTAGTATTATTTCATTTTATTA